ACGACTTCTTTACATTGACGGAAGACGCGATTGGAGTTTCAATCATCTTTGGGCATGGATAAGATCGCATCATTTTTATCGTATAGGTGTGCCCTTGCGGTTGTTAAAATAATGTGATTTTTCATTCCTTTGTTGTATACTTGCGAATAATTAAAACCAATCGTGGCGACGAGCACGTGAATTGGCCAACACCGGAATCACAGTCGAAAGCAGTGCATGCGCGCAACACAGATTTGTATATACACGCGCACACACACATTGTTATATCGATTTCGAGAGCGCGCATCATCCGCGAGGTCGTCGTCTCGAGTAACACTACTCGCCCAAGTATCGGGTGTGCCTTTCCATATGCATACACACACACTGCATGCACGTGTAGTATACACATATAGATCTACATAATAAATGTATAGCCGTGCGTGTCGATCGTGAGAAAGTCCGAGCCTTATTTCGCGCGGAATCGAGTGCATTGGTATACCCTAGGTTGTATTACCTTTGCACATACGTATATAGTGGACGCACACCGTCTTATGTACTCTCCCAATGCAATTTCTATTTCCCGGGCGTCGTCGCCCGCAAAGACAAAAAAAAAAAAAAAAAAAAAACGTACGGATCGGTCACTTACTTCCAATCGGTCGCTCTCTCTTCCTACATCATGATGCGGCTTTCGCGTGTGGTTTTCAAATTAGTTGTTTACGTCCCCGTTGCCCCATCAATTTTATCGGATCCGCCGGTGTATGTAGGGGTTACGAGTTGCCGAATGAGCATTAAATACTATATAATATATTCCAGCCCGGCCAAAGGGTGTACGGTATCGGATGGTTCGCGAGTCGCGCATCCAGAGGCAAATATATACGTTGGGAACTCGAGTCTCGCTCTCTATGCTCAGGGGCAGCGAAAAGTGGGTAAAGAGCCTTTGGTGGCCATTATGTGGCATGTGTTTTTTTTTTTTTTTGTTGTTGTTGTTCGGTATACCGATATTTGGAACAAACAACATTCAAACGGACGAGAATTCCGGTTCCTTTTAAACTTCGAATAGCAGCTCGATGAGGAAGGGAAAAATAAAACATCCCCCGGGAGGATCCAAAATCCATTTACGAGGCATTTTCGCTCGCGCGGCTTTAAAGTCGTGGCGCGGAGAAAAGAATGGGAGGGGCTTTCGGGAATCCGAGAGAAAAATACACACATGCGTGTGTGTATGTACGCGTACGAAGGTGCATCGAAGGGAAATACAAAATAATGTATAATGGTTAAGGGAAGGGAGACGCATCGGGAAGAATATATATGGAGCAGTGGGTGCCAATGCGCGCATTCATGCGGACGTATACAGCATCAGGATCCACCTGCACGGGTCTCGCAGTAGAAAGATCGGCTTAGGTGGTGAGAAAAAAAAAAAAAAAAAAAAAAACAGCTGCGGCCCTTGGGACACGACGCGTCGCATTTTTACCTTGGCCTTGAATCTTTCTCTGTCGAGAAAAGGGACCTCGAAGGTAAACACGGGCACTGCGAGTTACAGTTCTCGACGTGCCTCTATATGCGCATCAGGTGGAAGATAAAGGTCATACCTATATACCTACACGTGGATCAACATTTTGAGAGCAACAATAACCGGTGTATGCGAATCGTAGGCAATTCAATTGTCACTCGTTTCTCCGACTCGCAAATTGTCTTAGGTACCATGAAAATAATTCAAAGTGCTGTTTTGGTAGAAAGCAGGTAACAAAGGCAGTACACTGCGCAATCAGAATAAAAATTGGAGGCGTAATTGTAAGACGTATGTATACGTATGCAGAGACGAGTAAAGCCATCAAGCTCCTTGAAAAAAAAGCAAGGGAGAGGTGAGAAAAATCAATCAAATCTCAAAAGCTATGTGACACTGAGGCGCTTGATTTCCGGCCCCACCTTCACGAAATCTCTCCCGTCAAATCTGTTAAAAGCAAATAAAAGCACCGGAGAGAGGAAGAAAAGAAAAGAAAAGAAAATAAAGAGAGAGAGACGATGGGCGAAGGAGCGCGCGGAGGAGGTGCTCTCGGATTTTAATAAAATGCAAAGCTCAGTGCACGAAGGAACAGTATAGGTAGGAGGAGGAGGAGGAGGAGGAAACGGGTTTGGATGCGTATTTACGTCCCCGCGGCAAGAGAGAGAGCCGAGCCTTGTCACGGGATTATAAGAAAGGTATGCGCCTGTCTGCCGAGCCCTCCTCTCCGAGAGGTATGGCATTGGGTTGGTACGCTCACTCCCTTCGCGGCGTACCTATATCTATATGCTCGCGCGCACACACACATACCTACATATATTATACATATACACGTTCAGAGGCTCTCCCTCTCTTGTTGTTTGGCTCTTTGCTGCTGCTGTCGCGGAGCTTTTTTTTTTTCTTCTTCTCGTTTATTTATCCCTCTCGGCTCCTTCCTTCCTCCGCCTATACGCCGCTTTTGCCCGATAGAGGAATTTCGAGTTGAACGTACCCGTGGCTTCATATGGGTGCTCGCGCTCCATACAGGTACTTATACACGTGTACCCTTACTTTTGGGGTATTTTTCGGGGCACCTATACCTATATTTTTAATAATGCTCGTTGTCCTGATTTTTTTTTTTTTTCTCCTCCGTATGTGAATTTCAATTCATCTTCAATGGTAAGAAATCGCCTATAAATCCAGGAATGGTAATTCAGATGTGCATGGCAGGTATGGAGCTTCATAAATGCCAGTTCTTGTTTTCATTGATTTACGGGGCAGGGATGCATCAATCACTTGCAAAAAGAGAGGGCTTTTTGTTTGTATATTGGACGCACACATTTTACGTTATGGTGCAAACATTTTTCAAAGCTTACAAAAAAAAGGGTACGCACGTGGAAAAGTCCAAGATCGGTATAAAAGCATAACTTTTCCTTGCAGCCTGCAATGACCGAATATCGACGTTTGACCAAAAATTTTCCTACCTCCGAGATCAATAACCTGCTGTATCCCTATAGAGACACTGCACATATTTACATATACGTTCGTCTGTACAGGTAAAACTTGATAACTTGTGTCACTTGATACGAAAATCTCAGCCGATAGCGATAATCGCTATCCGTGTACTTATACTACCATTGCAAAGTATAAGAGTTAGTTTCACCTCAGCTCGGAGATAACGATCCCAACATCCCGCATCTGTTATCGGCGCCCCGAATGATAAAAAAAAAAAAAAAAAAAAACAAGTAACAATCCACTCGGGAACCGATTTACACTCGATCAGTATACAGAGTAGTGCGTAAAATCGATACCTATTACACATCATCACCACACGTATACCCCTCGCATCTATACCTTGCACACACGCTCCGTCAGCAGTCCGCTTATTTATCAATCCACTCGTTAGCAACCCCCCCGTCCCCTGTATATCGTTCACCTCTTGGCGTGCAGAATCGGGATAAGGACAAAACTAGCCGGGAAAAATGGAGCAGAGCTTAAAAACGAACGAGGAAAAAAAAAAAAAAAAAAAAAGTACAAGCGGCCCCTCGAGGATCCGCGAAGAGACGCGGCTCCGATACCTGTGCACAATTCGATGGGTATATCGTACTTAATACGTGCATCGTCAGAGACTCCCAGCCAAACGAAGCCCGGTGAGCGGTTAAAGGGTGTCATCAGCGTTTGCCGCACGTGATGTGACATTGTTTGGCGATCCGACGAGAGAGGGAAAAACGAAGGTCTCCTCTCGAGTGGGGCTCTTCGGGTGTAGGTACACGGTCGCCGGCTCTCTACATGCAGCCGAGCAGCTTGAAAAAGGAGAGCGAGCACACCCTATGTACTGCACTCGGCTTAGGATTATAACAGCTGGTGCCGAGTCGAGGACCCTCCCAAGTCTCCGATGTATGTGGGCTAAGACTTTGAGGATGTCGAGTGCGCGTCTTTTGGTCACTTATTTCTCTTTTTTTCTCGTGCCCCTTTTGGGTATTGTGCGCGTATCGATTGCGCTTCGAGAGCACTTGCTGCTTTTTTTTTTTTTTTTCTGCTCTAACGAGTCGAGGAATTATTTTTATAACCAGTTGATCGTGCGGCAGATGCATTGAGTCTATGTTAATTTATAGGTAAGGGGTGACATGTTAATCGAAAATTGAAAGGAAAAGGAAACATAATTGATAAAACTAAAACAATGCGAATTGCCCATCAATTGTGTTTTTGATTAGTAATGGGAGGGAAAACGTCAAATGGTTTTAAAACCATTTGAAAGGCGCATGCTTCTGACATCTCGCAGTGGTATCTTAGACTGAAATACTCCCGTCTCCTGTTACCGTCTCCGCCTCCGACTTTTCTTCCTTCCCGCGCGCAGGTAAAGAAACTCTCTGCTTCCAGCCAAGACTGTTACCTCTTCTCTCGAGGAGCTAAGCCTTTACAAACTTTCCAATTATTAACTCAGTCCCTCTTTTTTAAAATAAAATAAAATAAAATAAAATAATAAAAAAAAGTACACCCACACTTTTTCGAGCTATGAAATTTATACGCTTGAAGAGAGGATCACCGGCCGAAGCGATGAATATTGCCTTTTTAATTGGTACAGCCTCCGGTAGATTGTGTACACCGAGCGGCTCTTTGTTTATGCCGAGTGTCGAATTGAAATTTTAAATTTTAAACACCCACCCCGAAGAGGCGAGTCGAGAACAGCTGAATTAAAGGCTTCTCGAGCAAGTGAGGCTCTCTCGAGGTAACAGAGTTAATCACGACAATACACCCTAATGTACGGTGTATAATGCAGTGCATCAATTTTCACACTTTTTGAATTTGTTTAATTTTCTACCTTCCGCTATTATTGTTATTCAATCAATCACAATCGTTTGTTGTTTTTTTTTTCTCAATCTCTCTGCAAAAATACAAGTACGGTCCACCGTTCGAAAACAATCCCGTGCACATACATATGCTATGATATTGATATTGTCCTTGAGGAATGATTTCCAATTCATAAAACACGAAACGCGGGTGGAATGTAAAATAGGCAATTGTGTGTGTGTGTGCACAATACCTGACAATGGGCTCGGCGTTGTCGTCGTCGGTCGCGCTCAGCAGTCCAGTCGCATCATTGACCGCGGACGAGGTGGAGCCGCGCGGCGACCTCGGGCCACCCTCCGGTTCCCCGATCAGCACCTCCGTGTGGCCATTCTGAAAGGGACTGCTCGAGCGGCGCTCGTTCGCTCGCACGCTGTCGACCTGCAGCCCAGCCAAGTGCTAAATCATGATTATTGAATGCGTCGAGTATTTTTTTTTTTTTTTTTTTCCTTCTCCTCTTTCGATCAAAGTCGAGTATAAAAACAACAAACCGGAACCTCCGCGTCCTCCGGACAGCTTATCTGCTTCTCCAAGCCGACACGCTGGTCTCTGCCGACGACCTTTGGGATCGTGCCGTTGCTCAGCCTCGTAGTCGTGTACGCGTTCGTCGTCGTACCCGCGTCTCTGTTGACAAAGCAAGTATTTACTTATACACAACAATCATGATGATGATGATGATGATGATGATGATGATGATGATGATGATGATGATGATGATGATTTTTCATTTTACGAAAAAACAACGAGCTAATAAACAAGTTACACCCCTCCTACGTATATAGAGGGAGGTAGAGAAACAATGGCCCTACAATGTATGTACAACAAAACAATGGAAATGTCCCTACTACGCGTATACACGTGTGCTCGGTGAAAAAAAGCGACCTCCTTTATTCGCGCACCCTCCCCCCCAACCACCTCATCTCTGACGTACCGTGCACCGTATACGGTGCCACAACAGCGTGCGCCCTGACCACGCGAGCACGCGGATGAAGAAAAAAAAAAAAAAAAAAAAAAAGGCAGGACGCTTTTGGTGTGTGCAAAGATATACCTATACGGAGCACGCGGATAGCAAACCGAGAAGATGAAAAAATAAGGTAAGGATGCGTTTTACGGGGGTGGGAAAAAAAAAGGAGTAGCCCGCGCATGTGGGGTAATGCTCCTCATCGACTCGAGTGCGCAAACAACAACAACGGGAGGGGGGGCGGAGAAAGGGAGAAAAGTTTTGTGAAAGAAAGAAAAAAAAAATGATCGAAACAGCAAAGAGAGGGAGAGTTGGGTTGCGAAAATTAGCGCAAGAAGCTACGTTCCACAGTTTCGTAACGCGTTTCCAGCTCTGCATTGAAAGCGAGTGCATAATGTGTGTACGAGCGAGGGCTATAACCTTGTCCTCTCGAGCGAAGCTCCAGGGTATACGCGTTTCGCTGACTCTATACGTAAGATGTGCACCTAACTACCCTTGGACGGTGCGTTACGAGGGGGAGGAAAGTCGTGCCGGTGTTGCGTAAAATACGGCGACGAGGATCCATTGGGGAACACCGCGATCATCCTTTTCTTTTGGCGAATATTGAATTATCCTCCATCGAGTAAGTATTCACCTACGTCAAGATGTATACACCCGAGCGATGAGCCAACCATGCGATGGCAATTATTGTCTGAGAATGAGTCCGTCATTTCTATAAGAGTGGATATATATATATTATATGGACAGCTGTTGGGTTGTTTCGACGCAAAGAGGCAAAATGAGCTGTACGAGAGGACAAGTCGACAGATGTGAAAAATTTTCAAATGGAAGAGAAGAAAAAGAAAAGCTTGGAAACGAGATGGAGTGGGTAATTGGAGTTGGGTTCGAGGTAGCGGACCGAAGAAATATATGTGTATAACCCACGTGAGCGCGGGATAGTAAAAACGCATTAAAATGCAAATTGGCGTACGTGTGTACGTTGTAGGTATATACATTATAATATTTATGTCGGCTGAGAGGTAAAACTCACTTGTCGGAGACGGTCACCGTGATCTGGCTGCTCGTCGCATCTTTCGCGGCGGACTCGTCGCTCGTCGACGCGGTGCTACTCTCGCTTACCTGAAAAAAAAAAAAAAAAGAAGAGTGGATTAAACCAATTTAGGGAGATTTTTACTTTGTGTTTGTATTTGTTTCGTATAATATCGAGGCCACAGAGTGAACGATTGCGTCGATCAATCGTGATTTGCCTAACGTGCAGTGCTGCTTTCGATCGGTTACTTATATAGAGGTATGGACCAATAATATATATGCACTCAATCTGCACCGTCTCTAATTAACGCACAACCACGCCATGTATACGTTCCAAAGATATAGGAAAACATCACCGGAAGCGTCCGATCGCGCGGAAAAAGAAAAAAAACAGAGCAGAAGAGGATTTCGTAACGCGAAACATCACAGGAAGAAGCGGCGATCGGCATCGGTACACGGGGAAGATAAGCAATGAAGCAAAGCTATATACGTATGCAGGTATTATAGTCACCGCTGCTACATCATAATCGCGGGCACAAATCGGAGAGTAAAAAAAAAAATGGCAACGCGGACGAGTGCGGTTGTATGGAGTTGCATAACGCGCGCTTCAAGAAATAAAATCGCAGAAAAACAGTATACACACGAGTCTCATGATGTGTATGTCATGGGTGTAGGTATATACATGTGTGTGTGTGTGTGTGTGTGTGTGTGTGTATTACAAGAAGAACGGAAATTCGTGTTGGAGGAGGGAGAGAGGCGCACGTGTCCGAGAGAGCGGATGGATGCGCTGGTACGAAAGGCACGTATATAATCAAGGACACGTGCGCGCTGCAGGTGCCGATATGGGTATAATCTCTCTTGTAATCAGCGTTTTAAGTTTTCTGATGATATCGTGATTTTGGACAAGTTTTGTCTGTACTCTGTTAAAACAATTTTTATTGTATTATATACGATGAGCCCAGATGAAGAAGCTAATCATTTTTTTCTTTTCTTTTTTTTTTTTCAATTTATTTGAACGACAATTTTGTCGATAGATTGCGTTTTTCTAGTACACAATACTCGTGAAACGGTATTATTGTTATTTTAACACGTCACTCGAAGCGTTTGCCTCGCGGTTGAAACGTTTAGCGGCCGCACATTCCGATTTTCAAACTGGACGAACGGCATGTGTACACTAAAATCAAGGTTTACGATTCGTTCCGTTATACGTGTACGCGCTCACGTATATATTATTACACATATGCCCGTTTCATCTCACGTGATTATAAACGCGCATCGCACCTTTACGATTTCCAAAGTCCGAGGCACAAGTGTACATAATGTCATTAAGATCCTTTCCGTTTGTAGCTCTTGTAATGTTGCACCATGAAAAAAAAAAAAAAAAAGCGATTTCATCCGGGAGACCCGCGGAGCTTCCATCTCTGATTCACACTTGCAAAGTACAGAGTCGCGAGACCACGGATCACGTGGGATCAGAGATTCTCCGGAAAATCGATTGCAAACGCAAGTGTTGGTGCGTATACATGTATATATTATACGTGGTAAGCCACGACTTTGGCGTTAATCTATACATGTTTTAATCGTCACCGAGAACTCCTGATTTTTCATTAGCTCGTATATTATATATATATGGCGCCGATTATACGCGTGTCGGGGGTATATAACTTTTTCTAATCAATTGGAAGGAAAACGACAACTTCAGAGAACGACGTTAATGTGTGTCTTTGACCGGAGGGTAATCGGGAAAATTGATAATCACGAAAGTGACAACGTCGGGCGAGGGAAGGAAAAATAAAATGTATCGAGGCCACCCTAACGCGCGTCTAAGCGATGCAAATTCATCCCCGTGGCTCTCTCCGATGGGCGCAAAATAATACGACGACGACGAGGTCGGTGAGAATAATTTTGCATGTATTTACATTACGGTATACACCGGAGACACTCGCTATTTATTTTCGCCTCGAGCACACCACGAGGGAGGAAAAGAGGGGGGAAACACTTCCCAAAGCATCGGCGACACGATGAGGTATATATAAACATATATAATAACGGAGAGACGTCGACGTCCTTTCGATACATTTGCAATGCAGTTCCGGTAATTAATGCGCGTACGCGCGAACTCGTCGCTCGAATATCATTTTCGCGCTTTTATTTCCTTGGAAAAACCACGAGACGCTATAATTTACCGTCGTATTTCCTTGCCTCCTTTTTTATCTAAAATATTCCAAGTACGTGATAAAGTCGATGCGGCCGGTCGTTGTCGGAGAGATGCGTAAGTACCGCAAGTGGGTCAAGATTAAACGGGTTCTCGCTGGTAAGCAGTTTTCGTCTCTGCAGGACCCATTGGACGCTTCAACCGGTTGCTCATATACATTCGTAAACACATTGCACGTTTGTCAGCGTCTCCCGTTGGGAGAAAAAAGATCCTCGGCACTGGATCTAGCTACTTTTTTTTTTTTTTTTTTTTTTTTTTTCAAACCTATATAGTAGAAAAAAGTCCCAGAGAGAGTCCGAAAAGGCACTTTTAAAGAAGCACAGAGTTGCCCGAGGAAATCTCGCTGTCGCTTTCACGTGCACAGGGTTTGATGGGTATACACGTGTAACATCTGGCCGGTATATGTGTGTATAAGCTCCGGTACTTTTAATACATATTTATGGTAACGCGCGCATGTAGCGAGCAAACGAGTAAAAGTATAATAAGAAAAGGGGTGGCTTCGTTGTAAGTCGCAGTACGGGTGTATAAGGTGGTGTAACGCGTGTGGGGAGGCTGCTGCTTACCTGTTGATGCAATATCGTCTGGATGTCTCGAGGCTGGATCCTTTTCAGAGCGAACAGCCTCTCCAGCCTTTCCCTTGCACCTCTGCAATTGTAAAAAAGAACAAAACATAATGTACGTGTTACGTGCGTCTGATTTCTTTTGTACGTCATTTTTCCCGGAGTAACTGCATGTACTGAGAAATTTACGATCCGAACAAGTGATTGATGTAGAAACGCGTGCAGTGTTGTACTACTCACTATTGCTGCACACAAAGTGGGATGTATGTATATACTTAATAATACGCGAAGTGATCGGCGATAGGCGACGCTTGTACGGTATTTGCAGTCTTTCTCTGCGAGTCTATACTAGTACACTGCCGAGAATTTTGTGACGAAATCGTCATATGAACTATTGCGTATAGACACGATAGGTACGTTTCGTTGGATCGGATTTCCGTTATTTCCGAAAAATCAGCTGGAATATAATACATCACTTATGGTTTGAAACGTCAATTACATTTATTTGATGGATCCCGATTGAATGTTGCGTCGTGGTTATTGGTTTTGCGATAAATTCGACAAAAGATTTCGAGCTTTTTTTTTTTGTAATTGGCAAATGGTTTTGGCTAAAGTTTTGAGTCGTAAAAAAAAGTTTCGCCGTAAAAACATCGGTTTCCCGGTGCTGCGTCTCTGTGTACGAAAAGAAAAAACTTGAAGCGAATGAAAAAGCGCCGTTGCACGAAAATTGAAGGATCGTTTTTATTTACTTTCCTTTTTTTTTCTTTTTTTACTTACTATCGAGCGAATCGCACACAAAACAGCCGAAGCACCGTCGAGCCGGGACTCGCGTTTGATATAAATAGCTCACGGAAAGAAAAAACAAACGTCTAAAGCATACTTTTTACGAATTACCAAAGAGTTATGAAAAAGTTCCAGGTGCAAGTAGTGGTGTACATCTGTATATACAAATGCAAACTTTGGCTGTTGGAGCGTCGACTGCTGTCGCGACGACTTATTTTCATTTTCAACTCACCGAGTAAAGAAAAGTGCCTACACGTTTAGTAAAGATCAATACGTAACGGAGACAAAACAATAACTCACTTTTCGACGGCGATGACAAAGGCGTCCTTGATTCCTACGGTGTTCGATCCATCCAGCACTTGAACAAGAAAAAAACGTTTCGTTAGCTTTGCCGATCCAAATTTTTATTTTTTACAAGCATTGTTCTTATTAGAATCACACTCAAAAACGCACTCTCAAGGGATTAGTAATTTCACAAAAAACATTTTCATTTGGGTATAGTGTCCCAGTTACCCTTTAAAAGTAGGTAAAAATGTTACCCCACGCGTATTTTCATGCTCATCGTCCATGCGGTCAGAAGTCGAAAGCTCGATACACGCGAATTAAAAATAATACATCGTGATGTTGCACATTAGCCGTGTAAGCACGAAAGTCTCTCGCGTCGAAGGATCAATTATTCCTCGCTCTGGTGGGTCTCTATTTTTGCTCCAAAAAGCCCAGTTTATATTGTGTACAAGTGGTACGAGCGGGACTTTCGCCTCGTAGAGGTCAAGGAACAATATTTTCTCTTCCGCAAAACTTGCAAGCTCCACGCCCTGGTTCTTGCATTGTTTATTGGGTCCGTGTTAGGGTGAGAATTGAAATATTTTACTTTTTTTTTTCTTTTTTTTTTTTTTTACCTTTTTCAAATCGTTTCATGCAAAGTATGCTGGTTTTTAATTTCCACGAGGTACAGATTAGAAAAAATCGTTTTTCAAGGAATAAAATGTAAAAAATTCGTGTATGTTGAAGAAATGCGAGAGAAAACCAATGCGATGCCAGTGCTGTGTCGTTGTGGAACGGTTTCAATTTTAACGGAAATCTTTTTGAATCGATAAACGGGTTTTCTCTTACATTTCTCGTTACCTACTGACATTTGAGAATTTATTGTCTCATGTCAAACACGAGCATATAACACGTCTCATCCTTTGTCAAGTCAACATATGAATTATCGATAGCTCGAAGAAAAAATTAATTTTTCGCGACCATTTTTATATGCTTGAGTACTGAAAGGAATTTTACTATGATGAAAAAACTTTTGATCCATATTCGTAAGCAACCATCCAGCACAGATCGCCGTCTTGGCTGATGACGTCACAAATATGGATGCTTGCAAAGTTTGGTAAAGATCCAGCTTAGCAAAGTATTAAAAAAGTGTCGCAGATGCTTTCTGTGCAAATTGCACAATAAGCGTGAAAAAAAAAAAAAAAGCTTTACTGTTATCATTATGATCGTCACAGCGAGGAGCTACGGTAGACTTACTATTAAAAGGAAGTTATTATTACATCGATCCTTGGCCTGATTTTTTTTATTTTAATACTTGATAAATACTTGCAATACCTGATTGTTTTGTTCTAACGAAAAATCGATAAAAAAAAAATACCACCTACATCCTGAGAATACATCGAAAGCAAGTAGTTAAAAAAAAACTGTTTTTATTAGATTAGTATAACTCATGTCGGAACAGTACAGTTAGAGATGAAAAAATAAAATTATGATTTTTATTGTGACGAAACACGCAGTTTTCTTGATTTAACGGAGATAATTCAATTTTTTTTTTTTTTGAGACAAAAAGACAACTCCCTGGATGAACTTTATTTTTAAAAACAGCCGAAATAAAACTCGAAAAACTCCTACCACTTCGAAATTGGCACTCGAGCGAGAGTTGGCTGTCTATAAATACAAATTTACATCGAACCAGTTTTTTTTTGCACATCAGTCGTAAAAATAACAATCAAGAGTAGATGTAGGTATATATACGCAACTCGTGTGACATTCACAGTAGCACTTGAAAAAACAACAAAAATAAAACACTCCAATCCTTGGAAAAAAAAAAAAAAAAAAAAAAAAATTAAAAAAAAACAAATGAAACAACACCATTCGCAGATTTGTACCATCACCGCTCGAATCACGCGATCCCCCGTTAGCCGGGCTGTCAGGTAAAAGCGCGTTCTCCTGGCGCTTAGCATCCCCATCGTCATCGTCGTCCTCGTCGATAAACTTGATGGACGAGAGATCAAAGTGCCGGGCAAGATCGGTATCGTCTTCGGGACATTTCCCATCTCCCGTCGGCTCGACGATCAACGCCGATTTCCAGGTGCGCTCGCTCAAGGTCGGCGACTTTGGCCTGCTGGGGATCCGCGATTCCGCGCTACAGCCACACCAGGAGATGCGGTGCAAGAGCGAGGAGACTCGCGAGCGGCCCCTGGGCCCTCGTCTCCTCAGCTGTAGGTCGTCAACGCTCATCTCGGGGTTATTGATTTTCCGGGGACTTATACCTTAGGCGCTGCGATTGTTATGTTTGCCACTTGGATTCTCATTTCACCGACAAACTCGATCGATACGCTCATTATATGGCTATTTATTCGTGTTCGTCGGTATAGCAGTTCTCTTAATTTTGCGTCTATCAGATTAATCACATCAATTGTCTTGATTATCCAGATACAGTAAACGTCACCTGGAATTACTAATCCAGATCCCACGTATGTATAAAGATAAACGTACAGTATTCGAATCGATAAGCCGCAGCTGCAGTTTAATTACAATTCGATTCACTGCCTCACTTGCACAGTATTAGCACACAAAAGATAATACAAATAACCTATACGTATTGTGGGTCTGATTGTCGATTCTTTATGTAACTGAGAAGAAAAAAAGAGAGGGAAAAAAAAATGATCTCACGACGTCTCAATCTTTAGGAAAAAATTCTGTCGACTCCTCGCAAAAGACGACAAAAATCACATCGAAAATCAATCGGTAAAAAACTCGCGAACCCGGGAATATCCGTAGGGAAAGAAAAGGTGGATAATATGCCGATCGATCCACAATCACCATCCGTTCGCTCCCATTGCCATTCACGAGCCATCAATCGGGTCGCACACGCGCTGCAGAGCGAAAGGAAAAACCTCCCTGCACGAGAATACACAGAACGTCGCCTTTCACGCGTCGAATAACGTGGGCGCATTAGCCATACCGATCTCTACACCTACATACGCGTTATTAAAAAAAGGAAAAAATCACTTGGCTATTGTGTTAAGAGCAACTACTTTCCCTCAGAAATGGTGCATGACAAACGTCACGTCTCAAATATACCAGACTAGCGCCTATTCAATCATACACTATAAGTGTACATATATATGTAGACGCTTTCAAACGTATACGCGAAAGCCTCGGATCCTGCTCGAATCTTCCGAGCCTCTGCTTTCTCCTCCCTTCATTCGGACGGATGGTCCGCTTGAATATTTCAAAGGGTCAGTATCGCCCACCTATATTACATGTACAGTATGTCGTATATACATAGAAGCAGCGAGTAATCGAGTCTCCTCGTTGGATTTCGAGGGATGCTATATATACGTGCATTGGCGGGACGCAAGTTTGAGATTATTAGCCCGATGCTGCGCCAGTGATGTCGGACTATATTTATCGACGCGCGCTCGATGGTTACTATATTATATACAACCCGCGATCGCTGCCTTCACGGGGTGGGTTACCGAATCCTCGAGAGGATGACCCTTGTTTTTCACTACCTCATAGTGTGGGTTAAAATTTTTAATGAAAAAAAAAAAGTCGAATTTTAAAACGGACCAACTGATGGCCCTCTTACATTGTACGGTGCATCGAAGCGCACATCGTATAGGGCTCCGTCAAACTTGACGGATCTTTTACTACACACACGTTGAAAGGGGAGGAGAAAGACTGCGTGTCGCTCGGGCCGTTTATTTATCTTATTTTCAAAGTGGGTGCGCTATGCTTATTATAGGAGCTCCCGTTGCACGCTGTATACTCGGCTCGTCTCGTTCGCGCGCGAGCTGGAATCCATGGAGCCACACGCGCGGGGTGTTTATTTCGGGCCGTATTTTGATTAACTTTGATTTGCTAAAAATATACAAAGCCACCCACCCCTCCCTTCTCTTTCACTTTCCGGCCCGACTTTCTCTCTGATGAACTATTTTTTTTTTTTTCTTTACGTTTATCTCGCTGTGCAAGTATACGTTACATTTATTACGTTGGTGTATCGGATGTGGTTATCGATTCCAACCACTTGAGCGGGACCTCTGAACTCGCACCGATCGCACCGGTGGTAAAATCTATATTCAAACATTTACGAAGCACAACCCCCCCCCCTAAAACAAAATCTTTACACCATAACGTGTACCACTCGAACGCAATGTATATTTCAAGTCCACTTGAGTTTCACGGTATGAGTACACACTGTACCGTACACTTATACAACCTGAAAAGAAAAAATTAAATCACCGCACAAGAGTAAGCAACGACAGCGCCTCGCGTCAAAAAACTTCCTCCCACATAAATATAATGTGCCCGTCAACCTTTGAGATTTTTATTTTTTATTTCGTTTGTTTGTTTGCACACTCTCTCTTTGGTTCCAATATGTACCTCTTCGCTGCATCACTTTGGGGGATGCGAAGGACACGATTTCGAAGGTGGTCCAGTGCGAGAGGATTGCTCCTTTGCAAAGTTACAAACGTAAGTTCATCACCACTGGAGAAAGAAAGAAAAAAAAAAAAAAAAAAAAAAAAAAACTCGTCGCGATTCACACTACAACGACAGCAACGGCAACACCGTTAATACCGAGCTCATACCGTCTCCATATGGCATGTATTTCCGAGGCACACGTGAGCTTACACCCGAGAGGCTACTGAGCCATCATCGTCGGCGTCGCCGTCGTCTTCTCGACTCGGGATTGCTCGCGCGTGTATGCCGGCTCAGAGCGGGCGTTTATATTTGGAAGCCGGCGCGCGACGCTAAAAAATAACCGCTGCCGGTTCAACGCACCTAAGAAGAAGAGCCGCGGGCGTATACGTATTATGTACCGCGTGTACAGGCGCTCCCCGAGAGAGAGAGAGCGGGGTAACCCATCCTTTTTTTTCTCGCCTTCGTGCCTTTGGATGGCTTTTTTTTCTCTCTCTCTCTCTATCGGTGTGCGCGTGTGTGGTGCCGATGAAAGCTCCGAGCTTGCGGGCTTTCGATTCAAAGGGCCGAGCTTTCGTCGAATAAGTACTCGCCCGTGGGAGTACGAAAAAAAAGCTCCCCGCGATACATTTGTGCGGGAATCAAATTGGATTTTTTAAATTCGTC